TATATATATATATATATATATATATATATATATATATATATATATTTGAAGAGTAATTCAACTTCATTTCTCAGAAACATGAAATCACTTGTCTGAGCATTTTGAAAATCAATTTCAGCTACCCTGGCCCAGGGAGTTTTGTATTACCGTACATTGATTTTTCCAGAAGATTTAGTAATCAGAATGACAAATTTTGGTGATTGGCAAGAGGTGGCTCTTTGGAAGGGAGCAGATCACTGGGGAGCAGGATGAGAGGAAACCATCTATCAAGCTGCCCATAACTTGGTGAACACTGGGCATGTATCTCAGGCTTTTCACTGGCAATAATTACATGCGCTAAATTCGGAGTGCTATGCCAGGTGTAGGGCAGTGTGCAATCTGCCTTATGTGTGCAACCTGTATCAGGGCCAAGGGGAAACTTCCCTTTTGTCCTCTGAAGGTTGGCGAAAAACCACTGACTAGAGGCAGATGAACGGGAGAAAAGGCATACAAATGCATTTGATCACAGTTCTATGTGATGTGGGAGCTTCAGAACAAAGATCCAAAGATACAGGGGAACTTGTCTACGTTTATGCTTAGGTTTAACAAAGTATGGACATCCATGTAGAAATATTATTGTACAAAAGGGGTGCAATCGAATGCTAATAGGCTGAGTGGGGAAACCCAGCAAGGCTGTCTTTCTAGACTCTTCTTGGCCTCTCTGTGCAGCCTTCCTTCCTGCTGGGTATGGGGCAGAATCTCTGGAATAGGGATCTTATGACCTACAGTCAAACAAGGTAAGTCAGTAATTTCTTTATGGCCAGTTTTTACACAGAAAGACAGAGGGAAAGTGAAAGTAATATTTTTAGATTTTATGGATGGCTTTGAAGAAAAGGGGTTCTGGTTTCTGTGACCTTCCTTGGGGAAGAGGAATTCTGGTTCCTACAAACAGCCTCAGGAGAGAATGGGACTGAGAGACAGGAGGGCAAAAGAAGGTCAGAGAGGAACTTTTACTTCTGAGGCTGCTTCTCGGCCTGCATTTTGTAGTACTGTTTTCTGAGTTCCAAGATGTGCTGGAATTCTCAAATCAACCCAGTGTGTATGAACTCCCTAACCCCATCACAGAGATGAGAAAGCGGTGGCTCAGTAAGGTTAAGTAACTTGTTTGCAGCCAGAACCAGAACTCTTATCCTGGAAGTCTGAGTCTAAAGCTCTACTTCTGGGTTTATATGGTAAAAGTAAAATAATATTGCTAGATAGGACAGTAGCCAGACTCATTCTAAAAATTAATTCTAAAAATTGTATGATTCCACAAGTATCTACCTAACCCTAAGAAATGCAGGCACCCGGGCCGGGCGCGGTGGCTCACGCCTGTAATCCCAGCACTTTGGGAGGCCGAGGCGGGTGGATCACGAGGTCAAGAGATCGAGATCATCCTGGTTAACATGGTGAAACCCCGTCTCTACTAAAAATACAAAAAATTAGCTGGGCATGGTGGCACGTGCCTGTAATCCCAGCTACTCAGGAGGCTGAGGCAGGAGAATTGCCTGAACCCAGGAGGCAGAGGTTGCGGTGAGCCAAGATCGCGCCATTGCACTCCAGCCTGGGTAACAAGAGTGAAACTCCGTCTCAAAAAAAAACAAAAAAAAAACAAAAAAGAAATGCAGGCACCTAAAGGATTTACCAGATAAGACTATGGGATTCATTGGCTAATTGCAGTTTGACCTGTACTGTCAATTCTCAAAAGCTGTGTTGTTTGATCTTCTCCTTCATTGCATGAGTGTAGACAAATCACTTCCTATTTAAGGGTCTCAATCTCCTCATGTGTACAATTGAGGGGATCATACTGTAAGACCCTTAGGTTTCCTTCCGGTTTGGCCATGCCTTTGTTTCTGATAAAAATCTTTGGTTTTGTCAACTATAGTCACTGTTTGTGACTCCACATGAGAAGTAAGAAACATATCATTGAGCCACATACAATTATTTCTATGGAATTACAAAGGGCTTTCAAAAACGTGTTAGTAAATGTGTGACACTGATGTTTTTACATTAGCTCCTCAATAAACTGACAAAATCAACTGAGAAGTTGGAAAAGGAAGATGAAATTTACTACCAAAAAAATATGATGGGTTATTCTACCAGACTGAAATGGGAAAACACTCTAGAAAACTGCTACCAGGTAAGTTATATATTCACTTTTTTTTCTTCTTCTGTGGAGCTTTGCGTGACCTTGAAGATGGAGGTCAGATCTACAATGACAAGACCTGTCCTCTGTCTTAGCTATGACACACATATTGTGACTCTAGACAAACCACATTTCCTCTCATTGTTTCAATTTCTCCATGTCAATCACCAGTGACAATTTATTAAATTTCATTGGCCAGAGTTTCCGCTCCTAATTCTTAGTGGACAGGACAGCACTCAGCTAACTTCAAAAAGTGCTGTCAAAGTAAAGTGTAAATGAAGGCTTAAGTGTTAGGTCCTTGGAAATTAGTTTTAGGCATAAGCAATGACTCCTACAGTGATTGCTTAAGGAGGTCAGGCATTCTGTTAGGCACTGGAGATACAGAGCATTGAATAAAGTAACATTGCAACACTTGAGATGTGTACCTCTCAGTGGGAAAAGCAGACATGTAAAGAAGGAATTGTGGCAAATTATCTGATCAAAAATAGGCAAAAGATGTCAGCAAGCACATTACAAAAAGAGAAATCAAAATCATCAATAAACCTATGAAACAATGCTAGATCATTTGGCAAAAATTAGAACTTGACAATATTAAGTGTTGGTAAGGATGTTAGGAAACTAGAATTATTGTATCTCTGTAGTGGGAATAAAAATAATGGTATCTAGTGAAACTAAAATAAGCATGTACTCACCACATAGCAGTTCTCCTTTTAGGCATACACCCTACAGAAAAATGTGCACTTGTACGCCAAGAATGATGCACAAGAACGTTTATTGCAGAATTGTTTATAATTGCATGTGAGTAAAAACTGTATGCAATCTTCACACCCATCAACAGAAGAATTCCTCTTCAAATAATGTCTAATTTGGAAAGTAAACTAATATCCAGCAGTGAAAAGTTAATTAAAATTGTATTTGAACATGAATTAACCTTAAAAAACATGATGTTGAAGAAAAGAAATGTACCACTTATACAATCTCTGTAAATTAAAATTCTTTTAAACTCATGCACAAACTATACTGAGTTTATATGTGTGTGTTTGTAAACTTATACATATAGACTGGCCCTGTGCTCAATGGCAGAAATGGAGCCCACGGTGGGAATACAACAGAATTGCCAGAAACAGCCATGCAACTTATGCATGGCCCCTGGTGAAGCAATACACCCCTGGGCTCAACATAAATATGACCAAATTAAATAATTATCAATTCTGGAAAGTAAGAACATGAATATTTTGGTTTTCTTTTTCCCCACCTGTTTTAAGTTTAAAAAAAAAGTTTAGGCCAGGCGCAGTGGCTCACACCTGTGATCCCAACACTTTGGGAGGCCGAGGCAGGCAGATCATGAGGTCAGGAGTTCGAGACCAGCCTGATCAACCCAGCAAAACCCTGTCTCGACTAAAAATACAAAAATTAGCTGGGCATGGTGGCTCACCCCTTTAATCCCAACTACTCAGGAAGCTAAGGTAGGAGAATCGCTTGAACCCAGAGGCAGAGTTTGCACTGAGCTGAGATCACACCACTACACTCCAGCCTGGGCAACAGAGCAAGATTCCATCTCAAAACAAAATCTTTAAAGCAGGTACGATTGGAGAAAGCCATGATCTAATGCCCAGCATGGAGTAAGTGCTTGGTGCTCACTGCTCCTCTCTTAGGCTGTGCTAAGTGCATTTGTGTGCTTCTGTTTTGTATTCATTATGACATTATGAGGAAGGTACTCATTTCATCCTGCCTTTACAATTGAGGCTGGAAACATAAAGAGCCTGAGATGGTTTCAAGATTTAGCCTGGACCTCTGCACTATGCTCCTGCCCCATTGAAACCTGGGAGAGCAAAGGCTATATGGCAAGCGGAAACCGAAGGGCTGCATTGACATCTCTTGCAGCTCAACCACTCAGAGTAGAATAGATGCAGAATTAGAGAAGGGGAAATTAAAGGAGAGATGAAAACTTGGGTCAAAGAGAGGAAGAAATGAGACAAAATTTCTCAATTTACACTTGAACGTAAGCTCCTGGCACTCTCCTTGCTTATGCTGGATAGGTTTTAGATGAAGCCGATGAGAAAAGGTGAGGGATTTAAATTCTAACTTTATTCATTTGAAATCTGGCTCTGCAGCCTGAGCTCTGATGTTGCCTCACCTCACCTCATCACTTCTTGATGAAGCCCTGGTCTTTCCACTGAGGCCAGCTTCCTTTGATTGCCCTGTTAGGAGATGGGAGAGACATTTCTGCTTCCACTCCATCTTCCACATACCCACCCTTCAAGGGCTATGAGAAAAATATTTTATCTCAGTATCTCCATCCTCCTCACCCTTCTACCTACATCACAGCAATGGGAGATAAATGGGTTCTACCTGGTGTAGCTGATAACTAGCTTTCCTTCAACATATGTTAGAGAAGGCTATGATTATCTTCATTATTAGAAGCTCTTCTAGGCCTCTCCTGCATCTCAGTTTCCTATCCTCCTGTTAAGATCCTTCTACACCTTTCTCCTCCAACCATCACTCCCCCTTCTCAGCATTCCCAGTGTTTAAACTGAAGCATCGTGGAAATTATCTTCTTTTCTTACACTCTTCCTGATGGTAACAAGGTATGCATTCATGTACATTTCAAAAGGCATCTTTCAACTTCAGCTTTAAAAATATTTAAGATCTAGTTTAGTTTTTAGTTTTTTTTTTTTTTCTTTTTGAATCCAAGTCACATGGAGTATCTACTCAAGTCGTGATCTTCTTGAGGAAGAGCATTTTCTTTCTCCCCTCCTGTATCCTGGATTTTTGCTGCTGCTATGCTGGAGGCCACCAGCGTTTCACTCCCTCTCCTTTTTAGTTCACACTGCTTCTCTTACCCCACCTTCCTGTGAGCTCTATCGTAGCTCCTGAGAGCCAGCTCAAGCCCATTAGACACAACTTGATATGACTTCTGTCAAGTGCCTTTGCTTCACCTGAACCCTCAATAATGATGCCCTTTTTGGTATATCCTGGGCTTGTATATGCTCAAGTTTATCCCTGCATGTCATTGACTCACATATTACTCTGTGTATGCCGTATTTTGTGTATGTTTATGATACTCAAGAGTCAAATATTAGATTCATGAAGAATGAAGACATATATAACAAAAACAGACTGAATTGACTCAAAGAAGAACTTCATTAAAAGTGTGAGAGATGGAAATAGGATAGTTAGCTTCTCTCAGTTTCATTTTTTCTCCATTCCTTCACTATTCTTCTGCAAAAATTGAACATAAGAATTCATTTTAGGGTCCTATGAAGTGTTCTCTTATTCCTTTTTACCCTACAGGTTACATTTACAAATTCTTTCAGAGAACATGCATTGAACTACATTCAAGGCAGTGTACTAGATACTATGAGTGTAAGTCATAAGTGTAAGTAATGAAACCAATTCCAAAATCCACATGTCAAAACTAGTCTTATTATTTCACAATCATATTATGTTCTATCCACATCCTCTCTTCCAAGAAGAAACAATTCAGATGATAGAAATAATCTATATTTTTAACAATAATAGCCATACTACCAAGAATTACAAAGAATCAAATGCTTCGTACTAAAGCACTTACTCAAGGAATTATTTTAAAAAGCCACTTGCAATATGTGTCAAGAGCCTTAAAAATATTCCCTTTCTCAACCAGTGTTCCTCCTCTAAACCCCAGAACACAGAAAATGATTCGAGTGGCTGTTTTCTCAGCTCTCCCAAGGATGGCACTTGAGTAGTCCCACTCTAGATGCAGACAAATGACAACTCATTACATACAGTGGACGCCTCAGGACAGTAGGGATTCATTCTTTCCTAGGACTCTGTTGAAAAAAGTAGTTTTCTTTCTACAAATCTGTCTTGAGGAAGTAGCTGACAAACCAGACCCAGATTTCTATTTGAAACACGTTAAAAGCAAAAGGCAGGAAACATCCCAAATGTCCAACATTAAAGGGATGACTAGATGGATCACCACACGCCTGCAAAATGGATGATTATGAAATAATTAAAGTGGTATTTTCAGAGACTAATGGCATGGGAAACTGTTCACATACATGTATAGTTAAGTGAAAAAAATGGAGTTTTAAATTTGAATAATTTGATAGATAATTAGAAGAGAAAATCATACATAGACACATACCTAGACTGAAATATATCAATATGTTAATAACAGTCACCTCTGGGTGGAAGAATTATGATATTAAACTGTATGTTTTGTGGGTCATTGTGGACCTAGGACAATGTCTGCAAGCACCTGGGTTGCTTGTTAAAAGTCAGATTCCTGAGCGCCTCCCTAGACCTGGGAGCCTCTAAATCAATCAGAACCTCTGAATGATTTATAAAGAGGGGTCTAGGCATTCTAAAGTTTGAGAGTGTCTGCTCTAGAAAGAGACTATTTCTTTTATCAGTTCTATGACAGCCATTTAAATGAAAACAAAACCTCTTTGAGCCCTTCCTGTAGCACCAGACCAAAGGCCAGGACAGCAGGAACTGAAGGGAACGAATGAAGAACATAAATTGTCATGATGGCTGCGGCCCCGACAGGCTCTAAATCTGCTGAAATCTGAATCTTTCTTGATAACTCCTTGACCACACTTTCTTCATATGTACTATTGTGGAACCTTAAGAGGACAGTTTGAGGTCTTCCACAGTATCTTGCTTCTCTACCACCTATTTTATATTAAAAGAACAAAATAATAGAAAGTAACAAGTCATGAAATGAGATATGGATCTCTCCTTTGCACAGTGGAATTTATTCCCTCCTCTTTTCATGAGCAAACATAGATCATTTTAATGATTTCCCTGGAATGTAATTAAAATCTGTTGAGCATTACCATGTCACTAAGGACACTGGTTATTCTAGTCTCAGATTGATGCCAGTGATTCAGCCCTTGTCAAAGTAAAGAAACACCTGCCCTCTAGGGATGCAATGTGTTCTAAAACCTGGTTTTTATTTTCTCTTGTCTTTTGCTCATAGGCTAAAACAGAAGAGCTGGTTTCTATATCTTTTTCTATAGGGTAAGGACTGTTTTTTGAAGATTATCACATAGGAGACCCAAACAACTGAGCAGAATTTGTTTTACATATTTGTTATGAGGCATATCAATTCTGCCCTTGAATAAGCAAAACATTTGATAGGCTGTTCTGTGTCTTTAATCTTTTATCTGGGAGAAAGGGCAGCCGGCCACATTCAAATGGCTGGTGCCTACAATTTTGTGAAAGCCTCAGGAGACTGCCAGCATAAACAAATGCATTTGACTCCCGTTGACATATGAAAATTGTGCAGCTTCAGAGGCAACTAAGATTGCCATGGGGGCACAGTTCCAGGCTTCCATCCAAATGTCAGGACACTTGCACAAAATCTAAAGCTGCATGTGATTGGCATAGATGTTCGTAGTTACTGCCTGAGCCTTTTACTACTTTGATTTACAAGTGGTGTTCAAATGACTATATACAAAAAACAAAATGTGGTATACACCTACCATGGAATATTGTTCACCCAAAAAGGAAGGGAATTCTGGCACATGCTACAACACAGATGAACCTTGCAGACATTATGCTAAGTGACATAAGCCAGATGCAAAAGAACAAATAGTGTATGATTCCTCTTGCAGGAGGTACCAAGAGGAGTTAAATTCACAGAGACAGAAAGTAGAATAGTGATTGCTAGGGGATGCGGGGAGTAGGAAATGATAAGTTGTTGTTTCATGGGTACAGTTTACTTTTGCAAGATGAAAAAAGTTCTAGAGATGAATTGTGACAGTCGAACAATAATGTGAATGCTGTTAATGACACTGAAATGGATGCTTACGGTGAATAAAATGGCATGTCATATTATATAAATTTTACCAGAATTAAAAGTATAAAGAAATTTTTTAGAATGTTAATCATCATATACCATAGATGAATTAACAACACAGAGATATAGAGGAATGCCATACTGGATCAGGCCAATGGGCTCCTGTGGGCATGCCAACAGGTGAGCAAGGAGAATCCAGTGATCTTTGTCACTCTCCATTCTCACCTCCCTCGCACTGCCAAGGGCCTTGAGACATACTCATCTTTCTTCTTCCCTATGGTCATGTTACCCACCAATTTTGCCCCAAGCCTTGTTCATGAAAGATGATTGCTGGTGCTCTTTGTGGGATGGAGGAGTTGGGATGGTGGGTATGAGAGCAACTGAGCTGGCCTTCTCTGGATAAAAGGATGAATGTCCAGGCTTTTTTTTTTTTTTTTTTTTTTGAGACAGAGTCTCACTCTGTCCCTCAGGCTGGGGTGCAGTGGTGCGATCCCAGCTTACTACAAATTCCACCTCCTGGGTTCAAGCAATTCTCCTGCCTCATTCTCCTGAGTAGCTGGGACTACAGGTGCGTGCCATCGCCCTGGCTAATTTTTGTATTTTTAGTAGAGACAGGGTTTCGCCATCTTGGCTAGGCTGGTCTCAAACTCTGGACGTCAGGCGATGTACCCACCTTGGCTTCCCAAAGTGCAGGGATTATAGGTGTGAGCCACCGTGCCCAGCCAGGCCTCATTTTTATTTAAAAAAAAAAAAAAAAAAAAAGGATGGAAAGAATTTTGTCTTAGACATCTGCCACCTCCATCAAAGCCCAGATCTCCCCTGGGCACACACCCAGCAGCTTCATGCTGCCGCAACATAGCCTTGAAATCTCCCTGAGTACTCCACCTGACTCAGTCTTCTATAACAATGCTTAGTTGCTAAACCTTTCTGCCCTCTCTAAAAACCACCAGTCAGCAACTTAATTGGCAGGGGTCTAATAACTAACATTTTCTAAATTTTTTTGTCTTTTTTTGAGATAGAGTTTCATTCTTGTTGCCTAGGCTGGAGTCCAGTGGCATGATCTCGGCTCACTGCAACCTCTGCCTCGTGGGTTCAAGGGATTCTCCTGTCTTATCCTCCTGAGTAGCTGGGATTACAGGCACCTACCACCATGCCTGGCTAATTTTTGTATTTTTAGTAGAGATAAGGTTTCACCATGTTGGCTAGGCTGGTCTCAAACTCCTGACCTCAGGTGATCTGCCCGCCTCAGCCTTCCAAAGTGCTGGGATTATAGGCGTGAGTCACCATGCCTGGCCTCTAAAATGTTAATAGCTAACAAGGCAAATGTGATTCCCCTCACTTTCTTATTTACCCTTCCTACCTAAAAAGTCATGAGTCTAATAATGAAACTTCCGTCATCTCACAAAATAAAGAGGCTATGTTCCCACTTGCAAACAGTGGACTCTGACTCCCAGGCCTAATTTTAGGTAGGATTATGAATTGATCAGACTTTGGGGTTCTTCTCTTGTTAAACAGTCTCCTTAAACAGAGAATTTGTGGCTTGGCATTCTCTTCCCTGAAGACTAGCAGAATGTCTTGTATGTACGATAAACAACTCAAACTATTGAGTGTCTAAATGCATTTCCAAGATATGGATATGGGCTTTTCTGGCCTTCACTCTCCTCTAGAATTCATGGATGTGTCTCAAATGCTTCCTTTTCTTCGTTTCTCCCCCTTCCTTGTGAACTTAGGTAACCCACAGCATCCGCCTATATGCCTTTAGGGTCAGAATAGCGTGGGGAAAGTGTGTGAGTTAAATCACTCTTAAGGGAAGGTAATAGGACAGATAACAAGACACATTCCTCTCCTGGAAATCTCCCTCCACTGTGGTTTGGATATGACATAGTCAAGAGGCTAATCATGAGAATTTGCTCAGTGTGTCTTCAGGTGTGTCAGTGGCTGATGAGTGACGTCTGTTTTACATAACAACTAGCTGATCAAACCCTGATTTTCATTCTTTTCAGAGCATTCTGGAGCTGGAGAAGGAAAGAATTCAACTCTTATGCAATAACTTAAACCAGTACAGCCAACATATTTCTCTCTTTGGTCAAACCCTGACCACAGTGAGTAGAGATGATCTCTCCATTCTGGTGTGCCTGGTAAGAAGGGGCAGAAACCTTTCTTCGACAACCTTATTCTGCTCCCCTTGACATTGCAGTGCCATTCACAGATTCACTGTGCCATCAGCAAGATAGATGTTGAAAAAGATATCCAGGCTCTAATGGAAGAAACTGCAACTTTGTCTACAGAAAACAAATCTGAGTTCCTATTAACAGATTATTTTGTAAGTATGAAATGGCAAAAAAAAGAAAAAGTAACATTAATGGAGGATCTTAGGTACTGAGGGACTTACATTGAAAAAAATTGAAAGTAAATATTATGTTTTATAAATGAAAATGATTTCTCATAGCCCATATAAATAAATTAAAAAAAAAAAAAAAAACAGTGTTCTGGTTTATAAACTGGGCAATGGAAACATTTCTTTGGTATTCTCTAGAAGGAAAGAAAGTCGAGCAGGGTTTTAAACAGAATCTGCCTTATTCGGTCTTCTATAAAAGTAGTGCTAGGCAGACATGTTTCAACGACCTATAATTAATCACTGTATATCACATGGTGCTTAAGTTGGTTATCTGCACCAATCGCTATGTAACAAATTACCGCCCTCACCCCCACCAAAATAATGGCTTAAAACAAACATGTATTATCTCATAGTTTATGTGGGTCAGGAACTCAGTTGTGGGTTAGCCGGGTGTCTCTGAGCCCCTCCCAAGGCTGCAATCAAGGTATTAGGCTGGGCTGCAGACATCCCCAGGCTCTTCCTGCAGAAGACTCTGCCAAGCTGACTCACAGGGCTGTTGGCAGGCCTCTGGTCCTGCTGTTGGTTAGAGATACCATTTTCTTGCCATATGGGTCTCTCCCGTGTCTCAGCCTGCTCCCCGCAGAATGAGTGATCAAGACAGACAGAGCCAGATGCCCAAGAAATTATAGTCTTTTGTAAGCTAATCTAAGAAGTAACATCTCATCACATTCTATTTGCTAGAAGCAAGTCAATAAGTGCAGCCCATACTTGAGGGTGGGTGTGAGGGGAGATCACCCAAAGGCATGGATTCCAGAAGGTTGGAGTCACTATCAGCATTTTTCCTGGTCCCTTCCCTTGAAAACCTTGGACTGGATTACTGGAGGCTTATTTTGAGGGCATTTGGGTGATTCTGCTGCCGGTGTTTTTGCTGAAAGCTGGTCAGTGTCCCTGGGGAGAGCCCAAGCATGTTGCCTCTTTGCTACCTTGGGGCAAATTATCTGTCCTTCTGGGTCAAGGCTCAAAGATTTTGGACTCTGCTCCCCTCTTGATATTCTTAATCGTAGTGTTCTAGGAGCTGATTATTAATTACCAAAATCTGCAGAAAGAATTCCTGATAGTGTTTCCCTGGGTCCTCTGCCATATTTTATTCTGGATTTCAAGCTCCAGATTAGGGGTGTCATTCTTCTCTGACATGGAGAACAAGCCCATTGGTCATGTCCTCCCTAGGATTAAAAGTACAGCTGAAGATGACCTCCCTGGACCTCTGATCATGCAACAAGAGGTAAGGGTAGAAGGGAGAGGCGGTTAAATCAGGCACAGCAGTAAATCCTGACTGGCTTTCCCTTTCCCCACCATTTGGACAGCAACAAATGACCAGCTATTTTTTATTAAGTCCTTTTTTCATCTATCCTGACAAAGGAGAAGTATACTAGCTATCAATGTCCATTCAATGCAAAAACAAGGTAGAAATGGGAGTGGAAATAATTTGATTCCATTGGGAAAGCGCTTGTTTTCTTCCAAATAATGTAGTCAGGGCCTGAGATGGAAAAATGTACAATAATATAAATCTACTCTTTTCTTACAAAGAATAATAAAAATGCCCTCATCAAATAACTTGTCAATAAAATAAGGGTTATTTTCCTGAAAATTTGACTAGCGTTCTACCAAAGTGTAAGCAGGCAGCCATGATGACTTCTCATTTATTAGCATGTACAGGGAATTTTTGGTTTCTATAAAACTTCACCGTGTCAGAACTCACAACCATGTGTCTGTTGTCTAAGAGAAGGGACTGTGTCTCAAAATGACTGAATAGCATTTTCTTGACATCTTTAAAACAAAGCACCCCAATGTCTGACTTTATAGTCGTTGTCAGTAAGTGTAGGCTGGTTTTTATTCAGTGTTACAAAATTTACATGAACCAGGGTACAACAAACAGACCAATCTAAGTGCAAAAATTGGAGGGCTGGTGACCTGGTGAAAATAGTTGTAAGGATACCATGAATACCATGTTCAAAAGATTGTACCTTTAATTTTATATGCCTCCTCCAGTACTGACCTTCTTTCTAACGAATCTTTAAAAGAGGACAAATTTAAGAGTTAAATGATGGCAATATACGCCATCCTGAAATTGACCCAGGAGTAATGTATCCCTGGAAATACATGTTTAAACAATAGACGTCCCAAAACAAACCAAGGGAAGCCTTGGACTAGCATGGGAGCTATGTTCTGACTCGCATGCCTTCAACGGGGAAGAGCTAACAGTTTTATTTAGCCATCTTAGCAGTTGAGTCAGAGTTTACTTGAGGGTGTGATGTCAGCTTGGGCCTCAGCTATGTGCTGACATGTGAAGGAATGGTAGAGAATTTGGGGTCAAAGTAGGTGGGTCTTAAGAGGGAACACAAGCCAGGCGCTGTGGCTCATGCCTATAATCCCAGCACTTCGGGAGGCTGAGGTGGGTGGATCACCTGATTTCAGGAGTTAGATGCCAACCTGACCATCATGGCAAAATCCTGTCTCTACTACAAATGTAAAAATTGGCGAGGCATGGTGGTGGATGCCTGTAATCCCAGCTACTGTGGAAGCTGGGAGGCAGAGATTGCAGTGATCACACCGCTGCACTCCAGCCTGGTGACAGAGCAAGACACTGTCTCAAAAAAAAAAAAAAAAAGAGGGAACACTAACTGTTTCAGCTTGGGCCTTCTTTTATATTTCTCTGTGTTACAGGTAAAATGAGGAAAATAAAACCAACCATTGAATTGTAGGAGTTGCATGTAATAAATAATATAAAGAAACTTTTATTTATTTATTTAGAGATGGAGTCTCACTCTGTGGCCCAGGCTGAGTGCAGCAGCACGATGTCGGCTCACTGCAACCTCTGTCTCCTGGGTTTAAGTGATTCTTCTGACCCAGCCTCCCAAGTAGTTGGGATTACAGGTGCACACCACCATACCTGGCTAATTTTTTGTATTTTCAGTAGACACAGGATTTCACCATGTTGGCTAGGCTGGTCTCAAACCTTTGACCTCAAGTGATCCACTCACCTCGGCCTCCCAAAGTACTGGGATTACAGATGGGAACCACCACACCTGGCCTAGAATATAAATAAACTTTTGTAATGTACAATGCAAAATACATAAAAAATATTTTTATCTGTATATGTTTTTATAGAGGCTATTCCTTTTGCTCTAAATCCTCACACTTCTTGTTTGTGAAGTTCTATCTAAAGGTAATCTCTCAGCTGGGATCATAATTCTTCTCCTTCTTTATCAGAGAAGCCTGCATCCTTTCCTCCCATCTTGAGTCATTAGCTCCCCTCTCTCTCCACGGGTTTCTGTTCCTCTGCCACACTCACATTTAGCAACCTCCTCACTGCAACCCTACCATCCTATTCCTTTTTTTATTCAATTGTTGAAATAATGCATGTGAAAACTCAGATATCATGAATGATTCCTCATACCCTATGTTATTAAATTCCTACTTCAGCCCTAAAATCCAGCCTCAAATCCCTGAATAATTTTTTCTTCCACTATTTTTTTGCTCATGCAACAGGTATCTTTATTGTTCCTGATACATTTCCCACAGTCCTCCCTCTGCCCTTTGCTCCTGCCAGTTCTCCCGCCTGGAGTGCCCTTTGCCATCTTTCCTTGACTGGACAGTTATGTCTTCTTGCCTCCTTAAAACTGTCAGCTGCCTCCACTCATGGTGTCTGTACCATTTGTGAATGCATGTGGTCTTGTATTGCTAGTTTCTTTAATGTTGTGCTTCAAGGCCTAACTAAATAATAAACCCATTCTGGGCAGAGCATATGTGTTTTAGCTCACATATTCCCAGCTCTGCCAACACAGAACTCAGTAAAAATGTCTTCCACTCCTGAGGCAGTCACAGCCCGAAGCACATACATGATATTACATTTGGGCCATTAAACGACTCTAACTTGAACAAAGGTAAATAAGGAAGCAGTAAGTATATAACAAATAGATATATCAAGAAACTGAAATAACTATAGTAAGGGTTCATTCTCAAAGAATAATTTGCTCTATTGAAAAGTACTTGGCTATGTGACTCTCAAGTTGTGAACAGGAAGATATTTTCTTATTAATCAGGTCTAAAACAGGTAGAACAATGTGTGTAAAACTAAAGATTATCCTGTTTAATATTTTTTTTTCTTTTATAAAGTTAAAATTAAATGCAGCCAGTGAAAGTGTCAGTATGGACAGGGAAAAGCAACTTTTACTTCCTCCCCCTTGTTAGACATCCTTCTTTTTTCCTAAAGGAAGAAGATCTTAACAATGCAATGGATAAAGAGAGACGAAAGTCTTTAATAAAACCAAAATTATTGAGACTGCAGAGAGACATTGAAAAAGCCTCAAAAGACAAGGAAGGTGTGTAACTGTCTCTTCAAATGGCCAGAAAAGGGACCATATTATGCTCAGAGGTTTCATTTAGAGTTAGGATTAATTGCTTTTGCTATTTGGCAGGGGTCATCTCATTTAAACAACCATATATCAAACCTAAATTGTGTGAATAAAAAAATATAAAAAAGAAGAAAAGAGAAAGCCAAAAAAAAGAAAAAAGGAAAATCACATTTTGGTCTATTTATGAAACCTATAGTATTATACTACTATTTTTAGAAATGTAGCATTTTCACTGTGTTTCTGAAATTGGCTAGTATGAGAGACGATGTGTTTGGTTTAAAACATGGTAAACTCCTGTGCACAAGAGTTTTGGAGGTTTTTTTGGGTTGTTTCTTTTGACTTTTGAAACAATGTAAAAATCACTCAAATTAAATTCTGTATTTAGAAATTAGGCATGTTAGAATGTGAAGCAGCTATAAAGCAACACGGATGACAAAAATGACTCCACACTTGTGATTCTAAAGTCTACACAGTAGCTTGTTTTATATGGACTACAGTAACTCATTGTAGTGGAATACTGGAGAGCAAATTCAAGATAAAAAATATTTAGTGATGTGAATGCCATAATAAGAAAGAAGCCAACATGGTGTAAATATTAGCAATTGCTAGAATGGGTTGACTGAAAGATTCAAAATCTCATCTGGAAAAATAATAGTCCAGATGCTTTAAGCAGCAGCATTTCTCAAATTTCATTAAATGAAGAGAAAGGTAAAGGAACAGCTCATTTATCATTCGGTCAAATTTATTAAGAACTACCTGCAGAGACTCCCTCAGCCATTTAAGAAATCCTGCCAGTGGCTGGTGCAGTGGCTTACGCCTACAATCCCAACACTTTGGGAAGCCAAGGTGGATGGATCATGAAGTCAGGTGTTAGAGACCAGCCTGGCCAACATGGTGAAACTGCATCTCTACTAAAAATACAAAAATTAGCTGGATGTGGTGGCACATGCCTGTAATCTCAGCTACTCAGGAGGCTGAGGGAGGAGAATTGCTTGAACCTGGAAGGCAGAGGTTGCAGTGAGCTGAGATCATGCCACTGTACTCCAGCCTGGGCAACAGAGCAAGACTCCATCTAAAAAAAAAAAAGAAAAGAAAAAAGAAAGAAATCCCACTGGTTTCACTTCTAGATTCAGGCTCCCTTTGAAAGTGACTGACTCCCAGCTATGTCCCACTAGGATAGTGTGAAAGGTGACTGAAAACATGATTTCATTTTCAGGCCTGGAACGAATGCTTAATACGTACTCCAGCAACTCCTCCTTCTCCGATGCAAAGAGCCAGAAAGACACTGCAGCGTTAATGGATGAGGTAAATGTTTGCAGAGAGCAGTTCCCTAGATTTAGCGATGAAAAAGTTATTTTTAGAATACTTGTTTCTGGTCCACTTCGCTTTGTTTGCCTTTCCTTTCTCATGACATAGAAAAATCTAGTGGGAGAGCTTATAGGGTCAGCTTCATAAGTCACTTGAGGGATCTGGAAAAATCCAACTACCTAGAAATGTTTGCTTTGGTGTCCTCAGAAAAGAATTGTGTCTAAAATAGTATTCTCCAAAGCAGAGTCATTCTTTAAGGGCCTAGAAACCATGTGCACTTTAACCCAGTTTAGAAAAGTGAGTGACAGGAAACACAGGGTCTGCATTCAGAAAGGCCTGTATTTAGATTTAGCTGGGCTGTTTACAGGGACCTGGGGCAACTTTAGTTTTCTCACCTGCAAAATGGTGATATTGGTACCTACCTCATGGGGCTTTTGAGAGGGTGAAATATTATTTAGTAAATGCTAGCACAGTGCTCACAGGAGGAGCTCAAAAACTAGTCTTTTTTATAAAGATGGTATTTTCCATTCATCCCTCTGCTGATGAAGAGAATAACAGGAAAAAGAGATGATGTTGCTGCACAGAGGGAAGAGGGCAGTCTGGGGTAGGAGGCAAAAGCTTCTTGGGAAACCAGAAGCAACTTTGGAGGCTAGGTTCTTTGAGGGTGGGAATTGGGGTGGGGAGATGGTAGAAGAGGCAGGGAGGTGGGCCTCCTGGCCTTTGTGCTGAGTGCGTGAACTCTAGCCCCAGAGACATTCGTGGAGATTGATGTTTTGGCCACTTCAGAGGAACTCACATGAAAGGGATAGTTAACAAAAAGCTGATGAATTTTACATAGAAATAAAAATGAACAGATATATAGCACCAGTGTGCAACATATGGGTTTCTTGTACTGTGATTAGAGATCACGAGTAGACTGGGGTTAATCTGGGAATCATTCAAAGAGATAAATTTTTTAGCAATTTTTTTTTTTTTGAGATCGAATTTCGCTCTTGTTGCCCAGGCTGGAGTGCAATAGTATGATCTCAGCTTTCCACAACCTCGGCTTCCTGGGTTCAAGCGATTCTCCTGCCTCAGCCTCCTGAGTAGCTGGGATTACAGGCATATGCCACCACACCCTGTATTTTTAGTAGAGACAGGGTTTCTCCATGTTGGTCAGGCTGGTCTCGAACTCCCAACCTCAGGTGATCTGCCCGCCTTGGCCTCCCAAAACACTGGGATTACAGGCATGAGTTACCACGCCTGGCCTTTAGCAGTGTTTTGAAGAATACAGGAATTTGGGCATTTTCTTTTCCTTGCTTATAGCCTAACTCTCTTGTGAATGCAGGTACCTGATAATTGTTCCCAGATTGGCAATTTTAATAGTTTTTTGGTGAAAGAAGATGGATGCAGTGAGGTACCTCTGACCTAGTTTTTAAAAAGCCTTTCTTGAGTGGGGTGCTGTTGCAGAAACAAGCCTAACACTTCTTGTGAAAAGAAAGGCCTGCATTGTGTGCACTTGGGAACAGAGGCCTAACATACCTGCAATAATGTGTGGCTGCAATCTTTATGAAATTATAAAGCAGACTGTAGGACATTTTCTGTGACCATACAAACTGTTTAGTTAACTAATTCAGTGCAAATAATATTTGCCAAAATAAAGTCATAAAGAGCATTTCATGAGGCCATTGGGTTACACATTTATTCCTTTGGCTGTCCTTGAGCAGAATTTTGTCATTGTCATTGCCAGCATATATGTATTAGGATCATCTGGGTCCTCTCACATGAAGCACAGAGTGGAGGTCACAAGAAGGGAGAGCATCTGACCCTGGAACTTCCAGCGTTTATGATCTGGTGAAGGAGCAACTGTGAACATTTAAGTGATGAATGCCAAATATCCGCATGATTTCATTACACATGCTCTGCAGCTGGGTAGCCAGACACTAATGATACTGGTAAATTTTGGGTTACCCAGAGAAGGTTTCTTAGATGAGGAAACTCTTTTATTTAAATTATTCCTTATTTCATTGTATCTTGGTCCTTGAAGTGCCATGTTTGCATCAAGAATGTTCACAAGCGGCCGGGCGCGGTGGCTTAAGCCTATAATCCCAGCACTTTGGGAGGCCGAGGCGGGTGGATTACGAGGTCAAGAGATCGAGACCATCCTGGTCAGCATGGTGAAACCCCGTCTCTATTAAAAATACAAAAAATTAGCTGGGCATGGTGGTGTGTGCCTGTAATCCCAGCTACTCAGGAGGCTGAGGCAGGAGAATTGCCTGAACCCAGGAGACGGAGGTTGCGGTGAGCCGAGATCGCGCCATTGCACTCCAGCCTGGGGTAACAAGAGCGAAACTCCGTCTCAAAAAAAAAAAAAAAAAAACTGTTCCAAAGCAATGTAAGAGAATAATTAGTAAAGAAACTGGAGGAACTTAGATTAAATACTATCTTTAGATACTAGAAAGAGGGCCACATAGAGGAGGAGCTAGATGTGCTCTATGATGCTATCAAGTGAAGGTCTAATGGTAAAAGGCATGGGGGAGCTTTCAGTTTTGTCTTAGGTAAGTCTGCCCCACAATGCAGTGGATTGCTCCAATGATTAGAGGCCTTCTCCACCAATTGGACGTCTTCTGTCCATGGCTGTGACACCCTGGCAGGGGTATTAGCATTAGGAATTCCCATGGTGGAGGTGTAGGGGAAAGAGGAATAATGGTGAGGAGGGGGCTGGATAAATAGGACCCTTCCAATGCTTAGATTCTGTTATGTGATTCACACTGGCTGGACCCAGCCTGACAAGTTAATTATAGAGTTTCTAGTTCGAGGTCAAATTAAGAACAGAGAGAGACTATGAGTGTATCTTTAGCTTGACTTATTATTTTTATACCCAAGTACCGTTGAATATTGTTCCCAGTTTCCAGAAGTGTTCCTGTAAACTTTCTGGGTAATATAAGACCTCACCCTCTCAAAGAACGAATGAAGCTCACATTCAATTTCATTTGATTCTATTGATGTTAATTCAATTCTGTTCACAATACTGAGCACTGATGGCTCACTTTCTTCACAGACCACCAAAAATCTACCTTCTACAATCAACACTTATTCCCTTTCTCATCCCTCAGCAGAATATTGAGTAAAAGCTCTTCATTGCCATAAAATACTAATATATTACCAAGGTTTCCTGGTTACCCCCAGAGTACAGACTTAGACACATTCAACAACTAAAACCTTCCTCGAGACTGCTTAAAGGGTTTTCTCCCCTATTTTCTTTTTCTCTTTGGCATTTTCAGTGAATATCTGTATGAGTTAAATGTATACTTTTCTAACCTCTTTGTTATTTTGAAAGTTATTCTGATATTCCTATCCAGTAGTGCCTCATTTTCTAGAAATTTGCTCACATGGCCAAATGATGTATCCACAGAACAATTTGAAACTAGACCTATTGGAAGCAAACTCCTACAAACTGTCATCAACATTAGCAGAACTTGAGAAAAGACCACAGCCCAGCCATCCTTGTAGTAACTCCATCTTCAGGTGGAGGGAAAAGGTAACAGTCAAAAGACTGGATGTGATTTCTTGATTGGGCCTGCTGGGTGGAGTGGCTTAAAGTAGCATCAGGGGAAAAAAAAGCAGTTAGAAATTCTATGTGTTATTAGTATTCATATACCTAATAAGATAAAAATGTTTTTATTTCTTTTGAGCACAAACAAGAGCTAGACACAACTGAATACATCCTGTGTACCCTAAACTACTGTGAGGAGCTAAAAAACACTTTCAATTTCTTCTTACTCATCATATCTGAATTTTATCCTTTGAATGTGCTTTTACAGTAAAATTTCTGTTAAACTTAATTTCAATATTCATACAGACCTATAAGATTCTGTGGTATATGTTAGTCTCATCTGCTTAACATGGTGCCTAATGCAGGTAATGCATCAGTAGAGCTCTGAAATTCACATAGACGTATTTTCCCAGTGCTGCACTCTTCAGGAGTGGATGAGCAGGTGAACATACATGGTAGCTATTGCTTGTGGCTATTTTTGTTACTGATCAGAAGGGGGTGCTGTAATCATCTTGTGATGAAGGGACAGTTTTCTAAGAGGCTCAAGATCTTGAAAACAGTCTCAGTCATTTAAAGGGTTGTAATCATTTCACTTGCATTAAGCCAACTAAACTTGTATTTGTAAAAGTAATGCTGTGAATGTTACTATCTGACCTAGACACATAGGTTAGAATTGAAAACACAGGCTATAAAGTATAGTAATTCTGTAATTCTGAAAATATTAAGGCTTCAGCTCAAAACTGAAACACAGTAGGGCTTAGAAATCTACTGATATTTTATACACTCAATTAAAAAATTTCCAGTCCAGGCACGTAATCCCAGCACTTTGGGAGGCTGAGGCAGCGGATTACCTGAGGTCAGGAGTTTCAGATCACCCTGGCCAACATGGTAAAACCCTGTCTCTGCTAAAAATTCAAAAATTAGCCAGGCGTGGTGGCAGGCACCTGTAATCCAAGCTACTGGGGAGGCTGAGGCAGGAAAATCACTTGAACCCAGGAGGTGGAGGTTGCAGTGAGCCAAGATCATGTCACAGCACTCCAGCCTGGGCAACAGGGTGAGACTCTGTCTAAAAAACAGCTACAGAAGAGTTAATTTTCATGAATGTTTATCATAATCATTTTGCAAAATATGGCTTTTTATACCATTTGAACAGGAGCATACTCATAGCTATGTGAAAATATCTCGGCCTTTTTTGATGAAGAGATTAGAGAATATTGTGAGTAAGGCATCTTCTGGTGGGCAGAGCAATCCAAGTTCTTCAGCTCCAGGTAATCCCATGCCCAGAATCATTTGGCCTGGGTCCTACTGACAGGGCATGTCACTATATTTAAATTTTATTTTCAGAGCCACTTTGACCTGTATCTGTTTAAGGAAATTTATATTTCCATTGGGACTGATTAATTTGATAGACTCTGTAGCTTTATGTAAAAATGGGAAGAAGTTAAGAAGAATAGAGGTTTGGGAAAGTATTTTATAATATGAGAAGTTGCCGCAGATATCAGATGACTGGCATCCACCTTATTCAAATGACCTGTTATTTGCCATCCACATAATCACACCTAAACCATTTTGAGGAGTTTTGCAGCTCTGTCTCCATAGCCTCCTCCCAACTCCCATGAGAAGCCTGTCCTCTCTGCAAGACACATGGTGAGCCAGGTTGCTTGCCAAGGCTTGGACTCATGGCCTACAAACCCCTGTTAGCAGCCATCTGACTTCAGTCATTTGTGCACCCACACACCACACTGCTCTTCATCTTTCAGCACATACACGTGTCACTGTCCCTGAATGTTCAGATATAATTACCATGATCTTGACTATCTAATTTTTAAAATAAAAATTGGTTTAAAAAAAAGAATTTCAGTAAAACCAGGACATTATGGCTCACATGATATATTAAGGAATATATTAAGGAACACTGTTTGCAAAATAATTCCATACACGGCTAGGGATGATGATAATATGCACGTGCTCCAAGTATCCCCTATTTATATCTGAATGGCAAAACTGGTAAATGTTTTCCAAAACATGCATGCAACCACCACACCTATTATCTAAATGTTGCCAACTAAGCTCACATGGAAAAAGATATTGGCATCTTCATTTCTATTATCATAGAATGATGTTTTTCTCTAGACTTATGATTTCCTGTATTATGATATAGTTTTCGGTTACATATGTAGTCCATACATATAGAAAGTACATCATAAACGGTTATTGAATCAAGGAACGAACATTATGTAAAATTACACACTTTCCTTTTAAGAAAAATTTAATATATTGAAACTCTGCACCACACTGTTAAATAACCAGAGCTTCAGCTCATATTCATTTGCCTGCTAACACAGCATAGTAATTACAGCTTAATCTATTTCAGCCCCTGGTGTGGCCCAGCTCAGCAGACTTTGCAAGGCCTTATATTCTTTTCAAGCCAGACAAGATGATGAGCTGAATTTGGAAAAGGGTAAGAATCTTTCTCAAATATCAAATATTTTAATTGCCTTCCCATATTGAGATTCTTAACATGAATAAAACCCTGTCTTAGCATAGCAGCCTTAAGAGTTACCACCATGTCAAATCAGTTCAGGTTTATAATCACCCTTCTTGAAAGATAAGCACATCTAAAATGAAAGCTCGCAAAACGATAATAACTAACACATTCTGTTTACTATGTGCCAGACATGGTTGCAGGCCTGTTGTCCAATTTAACATTCATAAAACCCTTAAAGGGTTTTATTGGTATTCATTCCCATTTCATAGCAGAGGAGACTGACACACAGAAAGGTTAAGTGCTTTGGCTAATGTGACAGGCTGTGGCAGCGCAGGATTGAACCTGGTAAGGCAGTCATGCTCCGAATCACACTACACACTGGGGTAGAATGTCAGTAACGGAAGGTGATTAGAGGTGTGCTGCACCTTTTTATTTTTTAGAAGCTAGACATGCAGGAATGTGAAGTGACTTCCTCTTTTGACTTAGTGTAAGTGCAAATTCTAGAACCTGGGTCAGCTGACTCCCAGCTTAGTACTGGTCTCACTTACTTCTCAGGAAAGCTTTTTACAGCTAGTCTAAGGAGTAAGACCCCTTTCTTGGCTGGCCACGGTGGCTCATGCCTGTAATCGCAGCACTTCGGGAGGCCAAGCCAGGCGGATCATGAGGTCAAGAGATCAAGACCACCCTGGTCAACATGGTGAAACCCTGTCTCTACAAAAAATACAAAAATTACCCAGGCGTGGTGGCACGTGCTTGTAGTCCCAGCTACTTGTGAGGCTGAGGCAGAAGAATCACTTGAACCCGGGAGGCGTAGGTTGCAGTGAGCCGAGATCGCACCACTGCACTCCAGCCTGGGTGACAGAGCGAGACTCCATCTCAAAAAAAGAGTAAGAACCCCCTTCTTCCCTTCTTTGTGTCACAGATTTTTACTTAACATGGAAAGGTATTATGTAGTAGGTTTATGATATAAACCACAAAACAATATTAAAGAATAAAGTCTCCAGCCTCAACCTTCTTTATGTGTCCAGTTAGAAACCACGTTTGGATGTTAGTGCTAAGGCAGAGATCTGGAAACAGAAGGCTTAGAGAGAAAGAGTAATGTTGTGGGAGAAAGCATATTATCCATGACCAGGACACGGCTCCCAGAGCCAGTGGAAAATCAAGATACATTTTGTAGCCAGACGACAGGGACACCATATATTTGCTATTGTTTATTGGGTGTTTCCTTTGCAGCGTTTGCCAGTCATATGTCTCCAGGCAATTACTTTTCTTCCTATGTGAATAAAAGACATACTTCCCAGATGCTGCATTTGAGTTACATTGTTCACAATAAATTGATTATCTTGTTTTCAGTTCTCTGTTGGTTGCAAAGCCTACTTATTCTTTATAGTCTAAGTAGTTTCTTTAAATAAAACACAACATTGGAGGCATAGGAAAGCAGGCAATACAATTTGAAATCATTTGTTTGAATTCTTGTTAATAGATTATGTCAATTTACTGATCCGAGAGAACCCATTAGAGGAAGAACTTAGACTGAGAATGATCTCCTTTAAGAAAAGTGATTTATGACCAAGAAAAGTTAGAAAAGGAGTTGATAGTCTCCTTTGTCTTAGAAAGAAAATTGCTGAGGAAAAGAATGAAAGGAAGACTGAAAAATTACCTCAGAATGGCACCAAAGAAAAAGTGGCTCTTGGATCCTGAAGGGAGCAGATGTTTCTACTTTCATGACAAGAGCCATGTTTTCTGTCCAATTCTTTATGGAATTCTTTTCATTTGAATCATTGCTTTAAAAAATATTGTCTCCAAATTGATGTTGTAATAAGGTTGTCTAAGTTGTTGAATAGGGAGTTACATTTCTGTGCAAAGCTATGAGTTAAAATTTTGGACTCTGAAATCAGGAATAATGCAGAGGCATTGTCTTGATCTTATGAAATGACTGTTGGTGAGACACGCTTATAGCAGTCAACACACCAAACTATCATTAACACCAACAGGTGAAACCCTCAAAGTACAGACACCCAGAAAGAGTTTGGTGACAATCTATCAGCTACAAAGTGAGCCAGGCAGCATAAGGATATATGACTCAACATGATTTTTTTTTTTTGATTTTTTGAGACAGTCTCACTCTGTTGCCCAGGCTGGAGTACAGTGGCGTGATCTTGGCTCACTGCAACCTCCGCCTCCGGCATTCAAGTGATTCTCCTTCCTCGGCCTCCTAAGTAGCTGGGACTATAGGCGTGTGCCACCATCCCTGGCTAATTTTTGTGTTTTTAGTAGAGATGGGGTTTTACCATGTTGGTCAGGCTGCTCTCAAACCTCCTGACCTCAAGTAATCCGCCAACGTCGGCCTCCCATAGTGCTGGGATTACAGGTATGAGCCACTGCGCCTGGCTGTGATCCTGTTTTTAAGCAATTATTTTACGATATATCTCAGTTGTTCATTACCTTACTCTTTTTAATATTCTCTGGATTATGCCTGCTTTATACAGAGGTGTTCAATACATTTGGCTTAATCTGAATGAAGTGCAGAAAACAACAATACCAAGTAACTCCTTGAAGCAGAATCTCCTTAAAACTCTTATCAATTGGGCTGAGGCATGTGTTCACATTGCAGAGACCCATTTGTCTAACTAATGGTGTATTTTCACAGGTGACATTGTGATTATACACGAGAAAAAAGAAGAAGGATGGTGGTTTGGATCTTTGAATGGGAAAAAAGGCCATTTTCCTGCTGCTTATGTGGAGGAGTTGCCTTCAAATGCTGGCAACCTAGCTACAAAGGCATAAAATAAGACTGTGAACATACCACCTTCACACTCTGTAACTAACTATACAGTGTGGTGTAAATAAGAATAAACTGCTATTATCTTTACAAGTTTTTATTTTGAAATGGGTGGAGTTTTACCTGCATGTCACAGCACTTTGCATTCATGATTATTAGCTGGAAACAGTCAGATAAAAGATGGATGGGTGGAGAGAGAAAAGGAAGAGGCTCCGTGGTTCCTAGAGTTTTCAAATTCTAGGAGACCCTAGAGATGATCCAGGACAACCCGTGGTGTCACAGAAAGAGACTGAGTCCAAAGTGGGTTCAGTCGCTTGCCTGAAGTCACAGAGTTATCTGGTAGAATATAGCCGTGAGGACTTAGATGTGTTTTTCCTCTGGATTTGGGTGGCAACAGAGCACAGCAGGCCTATGAGGGGGTCAAGCAGAGCCTGGGAGATGAGGAACACAGATCAATTCCAAAAAGACAAATAGGCAATTAAGACAGCAATGAGATCAACCCAAAATAGGGGATGATAGGATAAAAGATCCGAAGACAGGGTGGTAGATAAAGGTCCAGCTCCTAGGCTGAGGGCCTCAGGGCAGAACGGGGTTTCATCCTGAGCCAATGACCTTCCGAGCCAGTTGCTTCTTATATACTCACCACCACGAGAACTGCTCTTACAGTTAGGTCAAGAGCGAGCCAGAGACGGCTGGGGATATGAGAACAAGAACAAAGTGGACGGGAAAGGGCTAGGAAAGAGATAGTGCCCCATTTTTCATGCCTCCTTGCCCATTTGGAAGCCTCATTTACCAATTCAGGAGCAAGGAATTCTGCAGTTTTCAACTAAGTCATTATGGAAGGAATACCCTAAGCAGCTTCCTAATCAAAGGACTTTAAATGATAGTGGGTTTCTAGTTTGAATGGAAAGTTCTGGAAACCAATCTTTACTATCAAAATGGAATATTTAGGGTGAAGAAAATGTATGCTACTTCCTGAAATGCCCCATAATGAGCAAAGGTTGGGACTTAGGCTAGGCCCCAAAACTTCTTCCAAGGGGAGCAGTTTAGTGTGGCGAGAAATGCTACAGCAGCTTCTTTCAGAAAATGACCTAAGTTATCCTGGAGATCACACACTCCATTGATTGGAAGGTCATGGTCTTGACAAAACTGCTGGGTATGTTTTTACTCTTGTGCCAAATAGGCTGTCATTTAGAACTTCAACAAAGGCATTAAAGGAGTAATTAAAATCCATCCCATTACTCTCCAGTCCCTGACCTCTTTAAAAAAAAAAAAAAAAAAAAAAATCAAATTTTATACTTTCAAGAAGGAATTTTTCTTTTTTTTTTTTT